TGCACCTGGCGTGGCAGACCCGCCGTGCACCTGCATATGTGGCCAGCGCTGTTTTGTGGCCCAGGCCGCGCCCTGTCGAGCTGCTCAGCTCAGAGCGAACGTCCGAAACCGGAGAGGGAGATCCTCCCTCATACAACCTCCGAGTTTCGCTGTACCCCTTCGTACATATCTAGCACAGGGACGGACGGGGGAGGAGGGGGGGGGGGGGGGGGGACCGCGTCGTGGCGTCGTATGACACGCGGCATGTTAATTGTCAGTTAGTCGGGCTAGAAGTTCTAGACGTAAAGCTATCTAATGGGCTGGAACTAACATTTGTGACGGGAAAGGCTCGAAGTGTGCGCGACTAGCTCTTTGCGCTGCACGTCTAAAAAAAAGAGGTGATGGTTTCCTACCCACAAACCAGGCGTCGCCAGGCCCATTCGCCCGCCGTTTATCGGCCTGGTTCTAGGTACTCGAGCTTGTCGGCCGTGTCAGATGTTGACCAGAACTTGACCCGATGGCCGTCGCTGCACTTCGGCGCCTCGTGATGCTCCTCGAGTTACCGTCGACGGTCACGGTCGCCGAGATACGCGTCCTTGGGGCGCCGATGGCACCAGACCACCCAGCCGTCGACGGTCACGGTCACCGAGGTACGCGTCCTTGGGGCGCCGATGGCACCAGACCACCCAGCCGCCGATGGTCACGGTCGCCGAGATACGCGTCCTTGGGGCGCCGATGGCACCAGACCACCCAGCCGTCGACGGTCACGGTCACCGAGATACGCGTCCTTGGGGCGCCGATGGCACCAGACCACCCAGCCGTCGACGGTCACGGTCACCGAGGTACGCGTCCTTGGGGCGCCGATGGCACCAGACCACCCAGCCGCCGATGGTCACGGTCGCCGAGATACGCGTCCTTGGGGCGCCGATGGCACCAGACCACCCAGCCGTCGACGGTCACGGTCACCGAGGTACGCGTCCTTGGGGCGCCGATGGCACCAGACCACCCAGCCGTCGATGGTCCCAGGCCTGGGGCGCGTTTGATTTAGGCGGGACGGCATGATATATACGCGAGATCACATGATGTAGATTGACTGCGCCGTTCGACTAGCACATGCCTGGTCACCATGCCCTCAGATAATTCTGGCATGTGAACCGATTTCGGCATTTTCCTCTCTCATCGAAACAGTACTTGGACTTATGATGCGGTGTTACATAACCTAAACCTTTTCCCTGCTTATTCAGATGATGTATTTTTAAGCGGTCTCATATAGCTTAGCCGTTATATTGCGATCAAAATAATTCGAAACCTCCGCACAAAAGTTGACCTAAGGCGACCAAGTACTTCGAAAAGATTCTGTGTCTCCAACATCGAATCTACGGAACGTCACATCGATACTTCGCTATCTGGACTGATCGGATTCACCCTTGGTTATGGATGGCGAATGCCGTATGGCAACTACGGCATAACAGCCACACCAGCTTCCGCTGAAATCATCCTAATTTCAACATCTTGCTATTGTCAGACACGCTCTGAGAGGTGTGCCACAACAGCTTTTCTCAGTATGTTCCGGGTGCCGCCTGAGGTCCAGGCACAAATCCCCAGTACTTCAACGCCTGAAGGTACTGCAGTGACCGGCTTGGGGATCGTGGAACTTAAGTGACACTGGTGAAGCTTGAACCGGGTCGGTGTCCCTCAGTGGGTCCGTGTCAGCAGCTGGCATCCCTCAGGTCAGCAAGTGGCGTCCCTGAGCGATCCCAGATCAGCAGCTGGTGACTCTGAGCGGTCCCAGATCAGCAGCTGACGTCCCTGAGCGATTCCAGGTCAGTAGCCGGCGTCGCTGAGTGGTCCCAGGTCAGCAGCTGGCGTCACTGAGCGATTTCAGGTCAGCAGCTGGCGTCCCTGAGTGGTCCCAGGTCAGCAGCTGGCGTCCCTGAGTCATGATCAGCCCCAGCTCAGTCGGCGATGCCCCTGAATCGCCTTGGGCCAGCGTGCGGCGTCCCTGAACGTCCCTTCAGGTCGGTCGATGGCCCTGCCGGTCTGCGGTCAGTCAGCAGCAGTCCCTGCTGATCTCAGTCAGTCCCAGGTCAGCTGAGAACAGTCTGAGGTCAGTCAGCGGTGACTCTGCCGCGTCCGCCGCGCCCTCATTGTTTACCCCGGTTATCTGGGCGCAGTTCAAGTGCAGCGCCGAGTTGATCCTGATGAACATGGCTGTGTCGGCTGCAGCGGCGCCCTGAGTCCTACGCCGGGCGAGGAGCGACGGCCGGCGCCGCCCGCCCCGCCAGCGCTCCCCGAGTCCTGCGCCGGGCGAGGAGCAGCGGCCGGCGCCGCCCGCCCCGCCAGCGCTCCCCGAGTCCTGCGCCGGGCGAGGGGCAGCGGCCGGCGCCGCCCGCCCCGCCAGCGCTCCTCCCGGCTGCATCTGCAGGGCTCGCCGACGCTGACATCGGCACCTCGCCCCGACGCCGACCGGCACCTTATCGCGCCGCTGAAGGAGAGGCGATCTGGGCGCTGCTGTCGGCCGCGGATGTCGGCACCGCTGCAGGAGCGGCGCTCGTGTGCGCCGTGCAGCGCTCGGCTGCGGTTAGATGGACCGCGCACTCGTCCGGCTGGTGCGAGGACGTCGCTCCAGCGAGGTCGGGTCAGCCGCCGTGCACACCGGAGCCCGCAGTCCTAACGTGATTACAGATACGCCGGACCTTCCCGAGCGGCTGTAATGAGATCAGGTTGATTGCTGCTAGATAAACCAGTCCAGCTTGAAGCGGGTTTCTTGAGCCTTCGCCTGTGGGGATTGCACTTTGCGAACACCTGTTGGTTTAAGCTCCTAGAAAATCAATCTGTTAAGAACGTCGGTGCTCCAGCTCCACGGCAACGCAGTTGAGCTGCATGGACGTGGTCATGGGTGTATCCACCATTCTGGCCTGGCGAGGTCAGTTTTGGGCAGATTGAACGATTTTTGTGTTTTGGTCGTCGAGGTAACATTAAAGGAGATTACACCCCAGTAAATTGGTATCAGACTAGGGCAGCCATTCATGTGTAGGTTACTCCTGTAAAGCGTGGTCATGACACAGCAGTTGGTAACAGCTCACTGTCTGTATTCAACTATTACGTCTCTGATGTGAGGAAGTGAGGGTTTCAGGAAACCGCCGTACAGTGGCTTCATAGACTCAAGGTGACAACTTCACACAAAGTTGGCTAACGACGCAGGCATGCATATACGGCACGCCCATACCCACAACCGATAGACATTGGCTGATTGATGAATCGGCGGACGATTGGCGGATGCAACTGGCATGACCTCAGCGGTTACACGTGCGAACAATTACGTTTGCCTAGTGCCGGCGCGTTGGCAGCTGATTGCGTCACCGCTCCTTCGCTGGCGAGGTCATCATACCGCCGAGGTCAGCGCCAACCCCGTCAGTGCTGTCAAATGTCAAATGCCGTCCGGTGCCGTCCGGCGCTGTTTACTGTTGTGAAATGCTGTCCATTGCTGCCCGGTGCTTAGCGGCCCTGTCCAGCGCTGTTAAATATCCCACATTGTCGTTCAGTGCCGTAATGTGATGCCCATTGCTATCAAGCGCTGCCCAGCGTGTTAAGCGCTGTCCAGTGTGTCCAGCGCTGTCCAGTATGTCCAGCGATGCCCAGTGCTGTCCAGTGTGTCCAGCGCTGTCCAGCGTGTCCAGCGATGCCCATTGTATCCAGCGATGCCCAGTGTGTCCAGCGATGCCCAGTGTGTCCAGCGGCGCCCAGTGTGTCCAGCGATGCCCAGTGTGTCCAGCGATGTCCAGTGTGTCCAGCGATGCCCAGTGTATCCAGCGGTGCCCAGTGTATCCAGCGATGCCCAGTGTGTCCAGCGATGCCCAGTGTATCCAGCAGTGCCCAGTGTGTTCAGCGGTGCCCAGTGTGTCCAGCGATGCCCAGTGTGTCCAGCGGTGCCCAGTGTATCCAGCGATGCCCAGCTTTCAGCCGTCCTTCGGGCGACGGCTCGCCGGCCGCCGATTATCGTTCATTAGAGGTGGAAGTGGTCGGCGGCGCCGGTGTCCCGGCTACCCCCGTCCCGGCCCAGCCCGTCCGGCCGGCACCCGACGACAGGGGAGCGGGCGGCACCTGGCGGAACTCCTGTCCGACCGAGCCGCGGGCCACGGGAGCCCGGGGCGGCCGAGGAGGATCTAATCCGGAGGGTTAGAAGTCCAAAGGTGTCCCAGCCTACCGGCACCAGAGATGATTACCGCCTGGGAGAGTCTGGAATGACAGCTGATTAGTGCAGCCATAATGTGTTAAACCAGAGGTAGATGGGCTTCCACACCATTCCGGCACCGGGCAGCCGCTAACGATGAAGTTTACAAGAACACTGCACACCTACGCAGGAGGATATGCTGGCTACGTAACGGCACTCCCTTGTGGGACACCTCTGCGCTGCATGGTGGACCCCGGGAACACCAGGAGCCTCTGATCTGTGTCCTTTCTGCCGCAGCTGGCAGCTCCTTAAAAATCTAGTGAACCATGGCAGAACGATTGGACGAGATCTTAGTACCATGTAGAGTGTTACTGACCGACGGTGGTTGCGGTCAATTGGGTGGGGGGGGGGGGGGGAGGGGGAGGGCGTGCCAGGTCCTGCGTCATCCTGGTGCGCGCGGCGCACTGACCTGCGGCTTTTACCTTTCGCGGGCGGTGCCTGTAGATTATCGGCCCGGCCGTATCAGGCTGCATTTCGCACAGGCGGTCTGCTGACGTCACGGCGTTGCAGGTGCCGCTGTGAGACGCGGCCACACCGCTTTCGTCCACATCCGGCCCGGCGCCGCCGTCACGGCACCGCCACGTGGACCCTGACCCAGCGGGTCGCCGCAGTGGGCGGCTGGAGCGCAGTACTCGCGCCACGAGGCGTCACGGACAGCCGCACGCTGGACGGCGCTGGCCGCTCTCCTGACATTTCAATGGACGAGTAAATGGCATAGTTTTCGAAGAGCTTCTCCTGTGGCTGTGCGTAGCAGGAGTTGTGTGGCAGTGGAGGGATGTCTGCTTCGTTAGATGTGCTGCGTCATGCGCACGAGGCAGACGTTCGCAGCAGGCTCGCGCCGCCCTGCAGACCGTCACGTGGCCTGGGGCCACCGGCGGTGGGAAAGTCGTCTCGCGAATCGACGACACGCGACCGGGAAACGGGTGACGCCTCATAGAGATAGTGACGCTTGCAGACCTTTGCCAGAGTCGGCAGTTTAGACTGGCGATGCGGGACGACCGCTCAGGGATGATGGCGACACGGGTTTGGGAAGCATAAAAATTGAAACGTTTGCCACGACAGCAGGGATCTGGTGCGAACGAACTATACGCGACCCTGTAGTTGGAGACTCCCCACGGCACGGAGGCGGGGAAGAGGGCCGAGTGTTTTAACGCGCTCATGTCTAGGTGCTTGGTTGTCACCGCGACATACTTTATGTTTGAAATAAATTCAGGCTTAAATTAAACTTAGATCGCAATTTGATTATCTTTGCATGTACCTAAAATGTTCCAACCTATGCAGCTGGTGTTCAGGAAATAGTTTTATCTGTGTCTGTCTACAGCGTTTCCGAGTTGAACACTAGGCGTAACACTCAGCCCGGCATAGTTGAGGGCTTTGCCCTTCCATCCGCATTGCGGTGTAGAGTCCAGGCTTGAGAAACACCCCATGCAGAGTTCAGCACAATGCAGGACTTATTGCCAACAGTTGTTTATCCCGGTGAATCAAGTCCGAAGGACCACATGAACAGCACCAAAGATGTGGCCCATGGTGAATTAACAAGCGTAATGCTACTACAAATCGTCGCATATATCGGTTGTTAGCTACAAAGGCTGCAGGTGTCTGAAATGAACGTTGCATGTATTTGACATGTTGCTTGTAAGCACTAGTCGCGCACTCCTCGACCGTCGCCACATTGGGTGGTCGCATCGCGAAATCGCTGACGCGACCGCTCCGTCGGCCATCGGGTTGTTCCCGGCGCCCCGCAATTCAACACGTGATGACCGATAGACGCAGGTCTTCTAGGGAAGTCGGCGGCGGGCACCGGCCTATTTCGACAGCTACATGACGTCGACATTGGTGATCCATAAATCATAGCTCACCGCCGGAGAGGTCTGCCATGCGCCTTCACCAGGTGGGCGCTGGTCGCTGTACTGGAGGGTGCGAGACGCTGCGAGACGGCACCCCAGGGCGAGAGAGACGCCGTCGACGGCCGCCCATACCGTCAGGGGTGCGAGGCTGCGGCACACAGTGCCATGTCGTAACCTCCGCCGGGGTCCGTCGGGTCCGGACCAGAGGTGCCGTCGGGTCCGCACCAGAGGAACCCCTTTTTTGGAAGTTCTTGCCCAGAGTCCGATCCAAAGTCCAAGGATTAACCAGCTGTCCGCCCAAAAAGTGACAAGAAATCGGGTTGTTTAATTGATCTTTTGTCACAAATATGGCAGGCATAAAGTGAAAACATAAAAAACCAATGCGCATTGGAAATGTTGAAAAAATCAGTACTCGCGCCCCATCTCAGTGTGTAAGTCCCACAGTGCTCGCGTCCCCATCTCAGTATGTAAGTCCCACAGTGCTCGCGTCCCCATCTCAGTATGTAAGTCCCACAGTGTTCGCGTCCCCATCTCAGTATGTAAGTCCCACAGTGCTCGCGTCCCCATCTCAGTATGTAAGTCCCATGTAAGCCTATGAAACATGTGGCAATGTGCGCGGAAAGAGCTCCGATCGTGTGTTTCTAAAAGCAGAATGTTTGAGTATGCTCTATCAACAACAACCAGAATCAAACTATTTTGAAAACGGGCGGCATTAGGTAAGTCGCAATGCATGCTACTTTGCAACATGACAAAATGACAAAGGCTGTCCAAAAAAGCCCGAAAACTTTTGCCCGGTCCGTCCAATTTTAAGTGGGATTTTCAAACAATGTTAACTTGTTCAAGTTTGGAAAGTGGTCGACACCTTTAAGCAGAACTCAGTTGGTTACCTTTGTATATCACCTAGTTGAAATAGCATCGAAGAAGTTCGGACCGCAGCAAAAACATTTTCGAGCACCCCTTAACCTATGCGGACCATGCTCCAAGACACTGTCGCCAAATGTAAATGGGTATGCCGCATAAATTAGGCATTGCCATGTCTCTTCGGTGGGTTTTTCCTTCAGGAATGAAGCCGTTTGCTCAGGACCAAAAGTGGAAGCAGCGCACAAGCTGCAACCACCTCTGGAGGAAGCGTCGGCTGCGACGCAGCGGTGAGCGTTGGCTGCGACGCAGCGGTGAGCGTCGGCTGCGACGCGGCGGTGAGCGTCGGCTGCGACGCGGCGGTGAGCGTAGGCGGTGACACGGCGGTGAGCGTAGGCGGTGACACGGTAGTAAACGTCGGCGGTGACACGATGGTAAACGTCGGCGGTGACACGGTGGTGAGCGTAGGCGGTGACGCGGCGGTGAGTTGCATGGGCCGGCCAGCATACAGGCTCCGACACGGTGGCCGTTAATTACCGCGCCCGCTGTAGATGGGACAGCCGTATTTTTCCAGCTGTCATTTGATATTCAAAGACCGGCTCCTGCTTGATAAACGAGAGGCGATCAGCTGTTGACGAGAGTGCAGCGCCGCCCGGTCGGCCATCACGGGGCGCGCGGCCGCCGGAAGCCTTTGGGGCCTCGACAGGTCACAGGAGCGGACCCCGAGCACGGTCACGGAAGCAGGCCCCCTCCCGCGGGCTGCATGGAATCCCCGGTTGTTCCGAGAGCTGGGCATATACGGCATATCTGTCTTCTCACGGAGGAAACACTCAGAGGTTCCAGGAGTCTCGGGGGCCTAGCGTAGAGTTCCCGGTAGCTCCATGTAGTGCCCGGCATTTAGCTTAACCACCGGGTTAAGAAGCGGCGGCGGCTGTGCGAGCCTGGCACGGAAGCTCCGGGAGCTGGCCGTTCCGTCTGCGATGCCCCGCGGCCGTCGGGGGCGTGAAATCGGCGTCAGCGCGCTCCGTGCCTGCGGCGCCTCCACGGCCGTCGCGCCGACGCGGATCTGCAGAGGAACGGCCGCACATTCCCGGTCGGCTCACCGCACGCCGCCGCCGCAGACAATGGTGGCGCGCGTGTCATCCGGTGGCTGGCCGCGCCCTCCCCCCTCCCCCATCCAGGCGGACCCTCTGCACACGCTGCCCTCACTGGGAGGAGGTCAGCGTCACCCTGCGCTAGCGGTACCGGCTGGCGGTTCAGCCGTCATCCAGCCAATCGCTCGCTCCCCTGTGTTGCTCCATAGGCTACGAGGCCCGTAAATTCTTGGCAGGGATACAGGCAGCGAGTGTTTTACAAGTATTGATATCTGCTGCACACATCTTGCAATACATTTAGATTGACTTCGGACCGAGCTATCTAATGCTGCAGTTGTTGTCTCATGTAGCCAGATATGTAAACATATATACTTGCTGCGTGATGCTTAAATACACGCGCCTTTATGCACAGTTGTGGTGTAGTATTGATTAACTTTGCAGAGAGCTTATATACTGTTTGTATGCCAGCTTAGAAGTCCTTATTTTTCCACGTCTTTGCTGCTATTGTATTTTTTAGGATATAATATTTTGCATGTGTCATTACGTTCTAACGTTTTAAAATAAACCATTCATGATGTATTCATTTAGTCCTGCTAAGTATGCTTTATTCTAATGTGTATATATATATATATATATATATATATATATATATACATACACATTAGAATAAAGCATACTTAGCAGGACTAAATGAATACATCATGAATGGTTTATTATAAAACGTTAGAACGTAACGACACATGCAAAATATTACATCCTAAAAAATACAATAGCAGCAAAGACGTGGAAAAATAGAGACTTCTAAGCTTATATATATATATCTAAGCTTATATATATATATATATATATATATATATATATATATATATATATATTATATGTGTGTGTGTGTGTGTGTGTGTGTGTGTGTGTGTGTGTGTGGTGTGTGTGTGTGTGTGTGTGTGTGTGTGTGTGTGTGTGTGTGTGTGTGTGTGTGTGTGTGTGTGTGTGTGTGTGTGTATGTATGTATAAGACCATCTTTTACCGTTTCATAAACAGGTAACAGCGAGCCCGAATATCTGCGTTTGGAGTAAATTTATCCAAAATATTTGTTCCATAACTCGGGAACGGGATTCAAAGGGCTTAATGCTGTATCTGACTGAGTGATAGTAATCTGCCACACAATTCGTTGCGCAATGCAAATTGCTGCGCGAATAAACTCACACGCAGTCAAAATATTCAATCGCAAACATCAGCTGCAACAGCGGCGCAAGCAGAACCGTATTGTAGGGCCCGGAACTCAGTGGAAACACATCATGTCGATTTGGAACTATCTGTTCGGAGCCATCTATCGTGAAATATGAAAAAAAATACCAGGCCTAAGGGACAGCCCTCCACTGGCTGCACCTGTCAGCCACACATTGAGCGCCGCACAGACAAGTCATCATACGCATAGGATTGGTCAAACGACACGAATAATGCAGAAGTGCAGGTCTGCCATATAAACACCTAAAGCTTCGTTTAACGCTTCAAAATGCCGCTTGTAGTTGAGGCGAGTTAAAAACGATTTTGAGACGAGCACGCCAGGGTAACACCGCCAGCTTCACTGCCCCGCCGTCATCCCCCTCGGCGGCCGTGTGCTGCGTGGCACGCGCCATCACCTAGCACCGCCGGCCGGTCGCGGCCTGACCTGCCGTCAGCCCGGGGCGATCCGGCCAGCCGGCCGCGGCCAGCCGGCGTCCCGGGCCGGCCGGCGCCGTCCCCTAAAAACCCCCACCGGCCCGGCGCGGCCGCCCATTGGCCGGCGCCCGGTCACGTGACCGCCGCGATCATTTAGACGTGTGACTTGCCGGCCGCGCTAGTGCGCGCTGGAGCCGGTGCCAAGTGAGGTGTGCATCTGCCCTCTCCGCGAGCTGCCAGAGGCGGTCCGAGCGAGCCGTGGCGGCGGGCCCCAGTAGTATGTGCCCGACCGCGCCGACGTCAGTGACCGCTGACTCCAGTCCCGGACCCTGCACGCCCTCATGAGGTGTAACGCGACAACGCCCCATGTACATATCTAAGTAGGTCACGCTTCTGCACTTCACTGTGTTGGTGTTTGTGAACTGTGTGTTTCTGGGCAGGTGCTGTTTCACTTGAGTGCCGCCCGCCCTCTGCTCTGAGACAATGCGCACTTGCTTGGCCTCGACTGTATGGCTGTTCAACTGTGGCGAAGATGCGTCCTGATTTCCCTCTAAACAGACAGTCGGCACTAAAACGGCCATAAAACCACTCAAGGCAATCAAATAAATCACGATCATAAATTAGTATAATTGAGCCATTTGAGGCAGCGCAGCCCCCGTTGTCAGCCCGTCTGCCGGTGGTGCTGGCGCGCGTCCCTGCTCGGCCGCGTTGCCTGTGTCCGGTCAGGTACCCGATAGCGCCGCCGAAAACAGGTGAATGGCCATGGTCGAGGCACTATCAAGGCCCGTGCAGATACGGCTTTGTTTCGATGCAGGTACTGCGAGTGTGCCGTGTTACGCGAGCGCCTGGGCGTGCCGGGGCGTAAGTCGCCGGTCGGGGAGCACATTCCTCGCGCCGGCAGAGGCGAGTGGCGCGACGTCGACCGTGCAGACGGCTCCGGCGCCGCCTGTTATCGGGCCCGCGCCGCCACCTGGACGCGCTTCCAGCTGGCCGATTTAGCTACAAATCGCCTTAGACTGCGGGCACAAAGCTTGCCGCTTCGGCGGCGGGCCGGGCGGTGGGTTGGGCGCGCGCTGCTCGATCGGGCTCAGTTCGGTGCCGCTCGGACCCCGTCACAAGTGCCAGCTTCTGTCAACCCTCGCCGCGGCCGGCTCGTTAGCCGCCCGGCCGCCCCTCCAGGTCCGTTTGAAAGGCGATAGATTGGGCGCGGTGGCCGGCGCGCCGGAGCCGCGCGCCGATGGCCGGCGCTGGCGGGCGCGGACCGGGCCGGGCCGGCCGCGGCTTGACCCTCGGCAGCCGCAGGCGCCGCCCGCACGCGCCCCTCCGCCGCCAGCCGCCCATTACCGACAACGGCGACTCGAGCAGCCATTATAAGCGAATCGCGTTTGTCCCCAAAGGAATGTTAAGGATTCTTTAACGAGCAGGCGCTGGATTAGGCCGGGGGCACGCGGGCCTTACCTGGGACGCGCTCAATGCCCCATCATAAAATGTCACCATTGTGTGCGCAGGCGGCCTCAGTAAATCGTGGCGCGGCCGCTCCGGCGCGGAGGGACCGGACCGAAGGAGCGCGCGGTGTCCTCGGCCGGTGGCGGCCCGGAGTCGGCGGCCCCGGCTTTCACCGGACCCGGCGGCGCAGGGCGCAGGGCCGCCGCCCCGGGCCGGGTCACGCACAGGTCGTGAGCACTCGGCGCCGCCGGCGGCTGCCTCACCGCGGCGCGCTGTTGCCGGGAGCCCGGCCGCGTCCGTCAGTCAGTGGCTCCGCGTTCTCCGATATCGCCGCCCGGGCGCTGCGGCGGGCAGGTCCAGCCAGCGGCGAGCGGTCCGTGCTGGTTGGGCAC